CTCCCGAGGGAGGCGCCCAGAGGCATCCGGAACAGATGCCCGAGCCACCTCAACTGGCTCCTCTCGATGTGGAGGAGCAGCGGCTCTACTCCGAGCTCCTCCCCGTGTGACTGAGCTCCTCACCCTATCTCTAAGGGAGCGCCCAGCCACCCTGCGGAGGAAACCCATTTCAAGCGCTTGTATCCGTGATCTCGTCCTTTCGGTCATTACCCAGAGCTCATGACCATAGGTGAGAGTAGGAACGAAGACTGACCGGTAAATCGAGAGCTTCGCCTTTCGGCTCAGCTCCCTCTTCACCACAACGGTCCGATACAGCGACCGCATCACTGCCGAAGCTGCACCGATCCGCCTGTCAATCTCCCGTTCCGTCCTCCCCTCACTCGTGAACAAGACCCCCGAGATACTCGAACTCCTCCACTTGAGGTAAAGACTCCCCACCCACCCGGAGAGGGCAAGCCACCTTTTTCTGGTCGAGAACCATGGCCTCAGACTTGGAAGAGCTGATCTTCATCCCAGCCGCTTCACACTCGGCTGCAAACCGCCCCAGTGCACACTGCAGGTCCTGGCTCGATGAAGCCAACAGAACAACATCGTCCGCAAACAGCAGAGATGAGATCCTGTGGTCCCCAAACCGGACCCCCTCGGCCCCTGACTGCGCCTAGAAATTCTGTCCATAAACACAATGAACAGAACCGGTGACAAAGGGCAGCCCTGGCGGAGTCCAACATGCACCGGGAACAGGTCTGACTTACTGCCGGCAATGCGAACACAGCTCCTGCTCCAGTCATACAGGGACCGGACAGCCCTTAGCAAAGGGCCCCGAACCCCATACTCCCAGAGCACCCCCACAGGACACCACGAGGGACACGGTCGAATGCCTTCTCCAAGTCCACCAAAGCACATGTGGACTGGTTGGGCAAACTCCCATGAACCCTCGAGCACCCGATGGAGAGTGTAGAGCTGGTCCAGTGTTCCACGGCCAGGACGAAAACCACACTGCTCTTCCTGGATCTGAGGTTCGACTATCGGCCGGATTCTCCTCTCCAGTACCCTGGCATAGACCTTACCGGGAAGGCTGAGGGTGTGGATCCCCCTATAGTTGGAGCACACCCTCCGGTCCCCTTCTTATACAGAGGGACCACCACCCTGGTTTGCCAGTCCAGAGGTACTGTCCCCCGACCGCCACGCGATGTTGAAGAGGCGTGACAGCCAAGACAGCCCCACAACATCCAGAGACTTAAGGTACTCAGGACGGATCTCATCCAACCCCGGAGCCTTGCCACCAAGGAGCTTGCCAACCACATCAGTGACTTCAGCCAGGGTGATGGATGAGTCCGCCTCCGAGTCCCCAGCCTCGGCCTCCTCCTCGGAAGACGTGACGGTGGGATGAGGAGATCCTCAAAGTATTCCTTCCACCGCCGAACAACGTCCCCAGTCGAGGTCAGCAGCTCTCCCCTCGCACTGTAAACAGTGTTGGCGAAGAACTGCTTCCCCTCCTGAGGCGCCGGACGGTTTGCCAGAATCTCTTTGAGGCCGTCCGATAGTCCTTCTCCATGGCCTCCCCGAACTCCTCCCAGCTCCGAGTTTTTGCCTCCGCAATCGCACGGGCTGCAGCACGCTTGGCCCGCCGGTACCCGTCAGCTGCTTCAGGAGTCCCCCGTGCCAGCAAGGCCCGATAGGACTCCTCCTTCAGCTTGACGGCATCCTTTACTTCTGGTGTCCACCACCGGGTTCGGGGATTGCCGCCGCGACAGGCACCACAGACCTTACCCCCACAGCTCCGAGCAGCCGCATCGACAATAGAGGCCGAGAACAGAGCCCACTCGGACTCCATATCTCCAGCCTCCCCCGGAAATCCGGGAGAAGTCCTCCCGGAGGTGCGAGTTGAAAGTCCCTCTGACAGAGGGCTCCGCCAGACGTTCCCAACAGACCCTCACTACACGCTTGCGCCTGCCAGGTCTTTCCGGCTTCCTCCTCCGCCAGCGAACCCAACTCACACCCAGGTGGTGATCAGTTGACAGCTCAGCCCCTCTCTTCACCCGAGTGTCCAAGACACGCGGCCGGAGGTCACATGACACGACTACAAAGTCGATCATCGACCTCCGGCCTAGGGTGTCCTGGTTGCCACGTGCACTTATGGACACCCTTGTGCTCGAACATGGTGTTTGTTATGGACAAACTGTGACTAAAACAGAAGTCCAATAACAAAACACCGCTCGGGTTCAGATCAGGGAGGCCGTTCCTCCCAATCACCCCTCTCCAAGTGTCACTGTCGTTGCCCACGTGGGTGTTGAAGTCCCCCAGTAGAGACAGAGAAATGGAGAGTCCAGCCCCTCTCAAGGAGTTGGGTTCCAGAGCCCAAACTGTGCGTGGAGGTGAGGCCGACTATATCTAGTCAGTAATGCTCAACTCCCGCACAAGCTCAGGCTCCTTCCCCCCAGCGAGGTGACATTCCATGTCCCCAGAGCTAGTCTCCATGTCCGGAGATCCGGTCGTCGAGGCCCCGCTTTCGACTGCCGCCCAGATCTCTCTGCACCGGCCCCATATGGCTCCTCCCGCGGGTGGTGGGCCCACGTGAGGACGGCCCCACTTTTACTCTTTTCTTGTTTTTATTATTATATTATATATAAAACAAACAGAACTCATGAACCCAGTACCTTAAACACAAGAGCTGTGCCTAACAGGGAGTTTTATATGTAGAAAAGTAACAGGACAGCTCCCTCTTCTGGTCACATTGGAGTAGTGGAGTAGTGTAGTAATAAGCTAGTCACAGTAACACAAGTACAGTCAGGTAAAGAGTTTTGCTTATTGGAATAAGCAAAACCCTTTACCTGACTGTACTTGTGTCTAAATCTAAATAAAGATCTGTTCATATATTCATAGTCCTAAATGTATATGATGATGATATAAAAAGACATAAAGTCACTTAATTTGTGTAAAATGTTCAGTTTTCATGTGATCAACAAACACTGCACCAATTCTCTGAAGGACTTTAAAACACCTCTTTAGTCCTTATTTGTTGTCAGGATCGATATGAAATAATACAACTGGAATGATAATGGCAGTGCCCACAGCAGCTATATACCCGAATAAGGTGGATAAACACGAGTGAAAAGATACACTGGCCTTGTCATTGTCATGTTGTTTTGTGAAAAGGACTGTTACTGTGACTTACTACTGCACTACTACAATGTGACCAGAAGAGGGAGCTGTCCTTCTCTTTTCTACATGAGTTCTCTTTGTTGGGTTTTTGTCAATAATTAAACTCCATCACATATAATAGAACAAAATGTCAGGATAAGATTCAAAGTAAATAAATAAAAGAAAGTAAAAATAATGAATTCACTTTTTTGCTGCTACTGCTGCAGTTTCTATTTAGCTACTATAACTCATTTGAAACTAAGGCCCAATCTGCATAAATGGGAAAAATATGGAATGCCTATTAGGCTTTATATGTACAGACACGAACAGCAGCTTCTTTTTTGTTCTCTTATTTTTGACCTGTCAGTGCAGTGATAATGCTGGTCGGGGTGGTAATAATAACAATAACAGTTATTGCTGTTGTGGTTAGTATTGTCATCCTTTTTTGTCTAACTAACTATCTAAATCAAAACCAGAATACCTGAATGTTTAACAGCTTTTAAGGAGTAAAATGAAACATGTTAAACAGTCCTTTGCAAAATGAAAAGTTTACAGCACCTGGTATTCAAATGTGATCTCCCATCCAAGTACTAACCAGGCCCGACCCTGCTCAGAGTCATGAGGTGAGACGAGCTCGGCCGTGTTCAGGGTGATATGATTGTAAGCGAACAATAAAATGGTGGGTAATGGATTTATTTCTACTTTAGGTACAAAGATATATTCTCAAGAAAATCCTGCTCAAAGTGTAAGTGACTGTTTGGAGACACACTTTGTGGTTTTGCTGTTTTTCAGTTGTAGCTGCAGTTCAGCGTTTCATTCTGCACTGGACTCTTTCATATGTTATATTTCAAACACTCAAGTGCACTGGTTTTGGTAGAACTACTAACCACAACAAGCAAGAACTATTATTTGTATTATAACTCACCCCAGCCACCATTCTCACTGCAACTCACAGTCTGAATCTGCACTTCATGTTTTATTTATTATTATTTTTTTATTTATTTTGGATCCCCATTAGTTATTACCACAACAATAATGATTCTTCCTGGAGTCCATTACAAAAACATATACTTTTCACATTTCACATACAAACTTTCTGTTAGTAAATATTAGTCGTAGTATAGTATTTATGAAGTTTATTGTACATATAAACAATATTACCACATTCAGTTTACACATACAGATAAAAAAAAAGTGTGTCACAAGTCTGTCACCCGATATATTTGAACATTTAATTACAATTTCTTTATTAAGTATAATTTGCTTTAATTTAGTTTTAAAAATATCCTCCTTTTGAATTTGTATTAAGTACAGAGACAGATGATTCCAAATGGATCTAGCTGTGTATCATACAGACACGATCTGTAGCCAGAGTCAGCTCATTGTAAAGGCACACAGAGAGAGTAACTTTGTTCAAAACTGAGCAAGTTTACAGCTCATTCTCTGTTCTCCTGTCAGACATGACCGTGTGAACTGCTCCATGACAGAACATGAAGTGATGCAGAGTTCAGCTGCTCTGTTCTGTGTAAGTGGAATTTAACTATTGAACAGATGATACCACCCTCTACTGCTCAGGGGAAGACCAAAGGCAACTTTATCAAATGGTGGAGAGGGAGCTGCAGAAAAATAAAAGTCTGGTTTGATATTAATAAATTATCACTAAACATAGAAAAAACTCAATTTATGATATTTGCAAAGCGAAAAGTACAAAATCATGTACAAATTATGCTCAATAATACACCACTACAAAGAGTCTTTGAAAATAAATTTTTAGGAGTAACTATAGATCATAATTTAAACTGGAAATCACACATAAATACAATTAGAAATAAATTATCCAAAGTGATTGCAATTATATATAAATATAGATATACCCTAGATAAAAACAGTCTTTTTATTATACATAACAGATGCAAGAATCATTTTTGGGGCCAATATTTATCGTGCTTTTTCTTTGTACTGGGGTGAGTATTTTTCTGTACTACCATTAGATTTGAGCTGTAGAGGGTTGAATTATGACAATGACTCATTACAGATACAAACTACTTCTAAGTGTTTCTTTCTTCATTTCACTTATTTATTGCAGTTCATATTATTAACAATATTGTACATTTAGAATACTTTCTGGGATAATTCTGCTCTGTGTCTATATGCATGTTTTGACTGTACCCTCCATGTGGTCTGAGATCTGGTCTGAGTCGTCGGACTGAGAGCTGGAGGCCAGGATCTGTCCTTCAGAGAAATGAGACGATTCCTCCTCCTCGTCACCAGCAGGGGGCAGCACCTCAGGGATGGGCAGGGACAACAGAGAAGGGAGAGTGAGTAAAAGTTTTTTATGAACACATGTAAAATAATGATCTACATGTTTTAGAGTTTAATACAAAGAACGCAAACAAAAGCATAATATGTATTCTTTTCGTTGTCACAGCATTAACAATTTTGAACTCAATTTTGATAGTTTTGAAAAGACACTCTTTATTTAGACCAGTGGTCACCAACCCGTCGATCTTTGCCGTATCACGGGTAGATCTCCAGCCTAAATTCAACAATTATGACTACAAAGTGACGAACTTGAATTTGCGGGATACGCAGACAAGCTGCAGTTCAAGGATTGACCACCGCATGTATGTTACTATTTAGCATGTGGCGCTGTCGGTATTATACAGAAACAACGAAGAAGAATGAATGAAAACGAACTCCGCTAGCAAAGCGTAAACTTCGCAACTATGGCAGATCATCAGCAAAAAAAGCCCAAAACCTACCACTTTCATCCAGAATGGGAGGAAGATTTAATTTTTACTATCGTAAAGGACAAGTGTGTCTGCATGCTGTGTCTCCAAACACAAGCGTTTTTGAAAAAAGGAAACCTACAGCGGCATCACGAGACTAACCACCAAAAGTTTAAGGATAGCTGTCCACCAAAGAGCGCCATCCGACAGAAAAAAGTTGCCGAGCTGAAACAGACATTAAAAGCCCAGCAGCTTTGTTTCACAAAACCTTCCGCTCAGAACATGGCTGTTACAGAAGCATCGTTTCGTGTAAGTCACCTTTTGGCTCAACATAAGAAACCATTCACGGACGGCGCACTGTTTAAATAAGCCATGCTCATCACAGCAGAGACTCTTTTTGGTGAGTTTAAAAACAAAGATGACATTCGGAGCGCATTGCGCTCTGTACCACTCGGGGCCACAACGGTGACAAGGAGGATAGAGTCACTGTCACAAGACGTGAACCAACAAGTGCTAAAAGACTTGTCACTTTGTGAATATTTTTCATTTCAATTGGACGAATCTGTGGATATTGTGGACACCGCGCAGCTTGTTTTTGTGAGAATGTCTTTTTCCGATACATTAACAAGAGAAGACTTCCTTACCTTGCTCCATTTAAAAGAGAGGACGAGAGGAAAGGACATTTACGCGGAGTTTAAACAGTACGTGTCTGACAACAACATCCCCATTCATAAACTTGTGCCAATTACAACTGATGGGGCTCCCGCGATGTGCGGCGTGCACAGTGGTTTTATCGCACTGTGCCGCAATGATCCCGATTTCCCGGACTTTGTGAACTATCACTGTGTGATCCATCAGCAGGCCCTGACTGGGAAAGCCGTGGACTTTTCACATGTAATGTCGCTAGTGGTTAAAGTTGTAAACTCTGTTCGGGCAAAAGCGCTCCAGCACCGCCTATTTAAGAGTTTACTGGAGGAGCTTGACTCCGCGTACTTGGATGGACCTAGTTCTACACTGCAAAGGTGGTGGTTCTCTTTAGCACTGGTTAGCACTGGCTCTGGCAGTTCTGGTGATTTGGCTGCTGGTTTCAGCTTGGATTTCCTCCTCGGTCACTCTGGGTTGAGAGGTGAATTTGGGCTCCTCCACTGTAACCTTTGACCCTAGAGGAGGCATGTACGAGAGCTTCCACTTCAGAGAGAGCTGGATGTGCCCCGCAGGGAGTCCGGATGGGCTTTTCAGCTCAACAGACTCCTGAAAAACATGAAGTGAGGAAATCAGCAGTATTAAACAATTATTTATTCACGTTTTTATTTATAAATGTATTTTTTATTGATTCATTTATCTGGAGCTTCTTCATGAGGACTAACTGAATCTGATTTGTTGAAGCTTTTACAACAGCAGTACAAGTCCAGTATTGAGAGAAAAGCACAACAATCTTCCCTGTCCATAATGGGTGCACAAAGCTCTTTCCTTCCTCACATTTCTCACAAACAAAATTGCCCGTAGTGATGCTAAAATACAAGGCTCAAGTATTTTGCGCTTCTGCACAAACCTGAATGCTGCTCTGTGACTGTTGCCCTCCACCTGTTGGAGAAACAGGTACTGAGATTCTTGAGTTTATGAATTCACAAATGTCATGAGAATCCATCTTACTGTGCAAGGTTATCCCTAAAGCAATCATGTAATACACTGTATGTTGAATTAATTCAGCCTCAAAAACATAAGCAAGAGTTGTAAATTTTTGTCAATATCCTTCACCCATGAGTAATTCTTTATTACAGCTAGTAAGTTTTCAAGTTATAGGCTACTTTTTTTTACCTCTTTGTCGTCAGTAACATAATAATGGAAATTCCAGGGTCTGAAATCCATGAAAGAGTGAGTTCTGGAGTAAAGGTGTATGGAGGTGTGTAAAAACACAGTGGAGCGCTTCCTGTGTTGACCACATGACATTGAACTGTGGAACAGAGTGTTTTTTGTTTGAGAGACAAACTCAGCTTGAGAATATATGCAGGGGAGGTTGTGTGTTAAACAGTGTGAATGAAACAAAACACAACTCCAGAGTATGTTTTTGAGGACGTAACAAAATTCTAACAGTGACTTAAAAATTCACAAAAGTCAATATAGGACCTTTAAATACTTTCTACTTAAAAAGACATCAGTCACTGAACACTTCAGTCATTATTTGGTGTATTCAAAAAGTCTCAATGTAAAATATAATAATGGAGTGTAGCACAGTGTCCAGTCAACAAATACTAAAAAAATGGTTGCAGCCTTAAACTCACCAATGAGAGGAATGGTCCCATGTATTTTCCCCTCCTGCTCCGTCAAAGGCTGCAGACGGATCTGTCCCGAAGCCAGACGTCTGGTCGTCTGGTCCAGCCCAGGAACCTGGTACATCTTCACAGTCACCGTGCTCTGGATCATACAGTCCAAAAATGCCTGGTCCATCCGCACCACGTACCGAGAGGTGAAGCTGTAGCGTGGGCAACGGCCACTCACGAAAGTGGTGGAGTGGAGGTCACATAGGTGGAGGGTGTAGGCCCAGAAGGTGTAGGGCTCTGGGTCCGATAGAGATTGGAGAGCAGAGGGAGACAGGGACACATTGGAGATCTGAAGCTCCAGAACATTCTCCCCGGGCTCAAGATGGAGGCTCTCACTGAACTCCTCCGTCTCCTCCTCCTCGCCCACGTTGGGTTTGAAAACGTAAGCTTTCTCTCTCTCCTCAAACTCCGCCTCTTTCTTCTTGAGTTCGTCTCGGAGTAACTGAGCGTCTCCTTCCTGCACCTCCATGTGGCTCCTCTGGGACTCAGTCACATTCTCTCTGAAGCACAAACAAGAATCATGTGCATAAAGTGGACAAGTATTTATGTTAATCTAAAATGACTTAATAATGGAAACAGACATATTTGACTTGACCTGTTCAAAATCAAAAAGCCCTGCCTCTTCATAGTGAAATTTCACCATAGCAATCAGCAGATTTTAATTGGCTTGTCTCTATTGTTGAAAGATGCCATGTGCCTCTGTGTATATGCCAGAGCCTGTGTGCTGTCCTCACGACACGTGACTGGGTGACGCTAGACAGCCAGCGAACTAATAAAGAAAGCTCCGTACACAAGGCGTACTTTTCTTGTTTTATGGAGGTCTCTTGCATGTGGTGATACATTAATATAGTAACTGAAACATACAGAAAAAGAAATGAACATTACCAACTACACAGCACGTTTGATGTACAAATATAAGTAGCTAGCTTATACATGTGTATTACTGCAGTAGTTAGCAACAAGTTCCAATATTCATATGAAAAGAAAGAAAACACACACACAGCCCCAAACAAGTGCTTGTGAACTCTCAAATACTTACAAAGACGAAAATTTGCCAAGGTTCAAACGTTAGAAACAAAATCAGCGTGTACAAGAAAGTTATACGGACTTCTGCCGTGAAACTGCTCCATTTGTGCGGAGAAAAACGTCAAAGATCATATGTAACATAAGAGCGCTCACTCTGCACGAAAAACAAAACGATCCTTAATGGTGAAGATGTCCCACTCTGACAACCTTACCCAAATATTTTTAACAGTTTGGTAACATGAAATAAACGTATTTAATTACCAATGAATTAACTTATTTATTTATTACTTTTAACTGACTTATTAACTTATGAAATATGAACCTTATGAAATGATGTCTTTTATCCCAAAGACATGACACTCCCCGCTTGATATAATCACATTATAGCACTACAAATACCACAACACATGAAAACATTACGAGTGTCACAGGGATATTCACTCAGTCTCTGAAACCAAAACAATAATCTCTGAGACAGGTCTTAGAAACACTTTTGGAGTCCCTTCTTTAACAATCCGCACTTCCACTTTGCGGATCTTTTTGTCCCTGCTGGGTAAAGTCTTTACTATCAGTCCCATGGGCCATTCATTCCTGTGTGCTTGAGCGTCTTTCAACAGAACTACATCTCCTTCTTTGACATTTGGTTGGTTTTCAGTCCATTTTGTGCGTTTCTGCAAGGTAGACAAATATTCTCCTTTCCACCTTTTCCAAAATGTGTCTGCAAGCTGTTGTACCTGCTTCCATTGTTTTCCATACAACTGTCCGGAGGAGAAGTTCCCAGATGGAGCAGACACTGTGCTTGATTTCTGTGTTAGTAACATCGCGGGCGTAAGGATAGTTGGGCAGTCCGGGTCGGTAGATATTGGGACGAGAGGCCTTGCATTGATAATAGCCATTACCTCAGCCATAAAGGTGCTCAAAACCTCATGTGTAAGACATATTTGAACATTTTTTTAACAACATTGCTTCTAAGATACGTCTAGCTACACCTATGAGACGTTCCCAGGACCCTCCCATATGAGACGCATGTGGAGGATTGAATGTCCATGAGCACCCCTTCTCTTGAAGGTACTTTCCCACTACTGACTTGTCTGTGTCTAAACCCAGTTCCTTACAAGCTCCTACAAAATTAGTCCCTCGGTCTGAGCGCAAGAGCTTGGCTGGGCCACGAATAGCGAAGAATCTCCTTAGCGCATTTATAAAGCTGTCCGTAGACATAGTTTCAATCAGTTCAATGTGCACGGCTCTGGTGGTCATGCATGAGAAGATAACTGCCCACCGTTTGCTTAAGGCACTACCGCCTCTGGTGCGGCGTGTAACTATAGTCCACGGCCCGAACACATCCAAACCTACAGTGGTGAAGGGCGGTTCTGGCGTTACTCGATCTGCAGGCAAGTCTGCCATTTTCTGGGCCTGCATTTTGCCTCGCAATTTGCGGCAGGTGACACAGTTATGTATTACAGAAGACACAAGCCGCTTACCTCCAATGATCCAAAAGCCAGCACCACGGACAGCTCCTTCCGTGATGTGTCGTCCTTGATGAGCTGACTGTTCGTGGAAATGTCTGACAAGCAGTGTGGCAACATGGCTGGAGGAAGGGATAATCAGAGGGTGCTTTTCATCTTCTGAGAGGTCGGAGAAGGAGAGACGCCCACCGACGCGCAATAGTCCATCTTTATCCACGACTGGATTGAGCTTTTTGAGTGTGTCCTTTCTCGAGTTGATCTTTTTTCCTTCTTTCAATTGTTTCAATGTCCCTTTGTATGCATCATGTTGTACTGATTGGATGATAACATTTTTAGCTTGTGTGAGTTCTTCCAGATTTGTATATTCTTTGAGAACTTTCCATTCCTGCTTGTCCACTTGTTTTTTGTTTGAACACAGCAACAACATGAATAAGTTTGGCTATGGCTTTACATGCTTTTGTCCAGTTGGAGAATCTTTTGAAGCGTTCTGAGCCTAGCTGTGACTCTGACACTGCTGTTATGAGTGTTTTCACTTCTGGACGTATTTCTTTGTCATTTTCGGGTTCAACGAGTGAGAATGGATTGTCTTTGTTTGTCTCATTAAGTCTGTTTGAACACAGGAAACTTGGGCCAGTAAACCAGTTACTGTTTTGGAGCTCGGTGGCTGGGATGACTCTTGTTGCCTGGTCAGCTGGGTTTAACTCAGTTGGCACATAGCGCCATTGGTCGGGTTGTGTGGATAACCTAATGCGTGTAACACGGTTGGCTACATACATGTAGAATCTTTTTGAGGAGTTGTGTATGTATCCTAACACAATACGACTGTCTGTGAAAAACTTAACACTGTCGATCTTGATGTCTAATTCGTCCCTGATTAAATCGTACATTTCTACTGCAAGTACGGCTGCACAAAGTTCTAGCCGTGGGACAGTGTGTGCAGGGCGGGGCGCAAGCTTAGACTTCCCCATCACAAAACCTACATGGTACTGATCTTGATTGTCTAAAGAGCACAAGTAAGCTACTGCTCCTATTGCTATAGTAGACGCATCACAGAAAATGCACAGTTCATTACTTTTCATTGCATTTAACGAACCTGGAGTGTAGCACCTTTTGATTTGCAAATCCTCAAGGGCTTTCAACGAGTCCTTCCATGAGACCCACTCCTCCTCCTTTTCAGGGGGAAGGGGTGCGTCCCAATCTCTCTCTTCCGATGACAGTTCTCGGAGTAGCGATTTGCCTTGCATGATTATGGGGGCAGCAAAACCCAAAGGGTCGTATAGGCTATTGACTGTTGACAGCACTCCCCTGCTCCCCTGCGTGTGAATGGTTTTGTCTCATTGGATACAAGGTAAGTGAAACTGTCAGTCTGTAAATTCCAACAGAGTCCTAGGCTCCTCTGGACTGGAAGAGTATCTATCCCTAGGTCTAAGTCTTTCAAATCTTTGGCACGATCTTCCACAGGAAACGCTTCCATGACAAGGCTACAGTTCGATGCCACCTTGTGGAGTCGTAGGTTGGATTCTGCTAACATGTTCTTTGTTCTAGTCAACAGGTCGATTGCTTGGTTTGGTGTGGCGACAGATGTGAGCCCGTCATCAACATAAAACTGCCTCTCAACAAACTGTCTTGCGTCTGCGCCATGTTCTTTTTCACCCTCCTTCGCTGCCTGTCGCATGCAGTAAATGGCAACGGCGGGTGACGGGCTGTTACCAAAAACATGCACTTTCATTCTATATTCAATTATGTTCTTTGTGATGTCATTGTCCTCAAACCAAAGATAGCGAAGATAGTCTCTATGTTCTTCACACACTTCAAAACAATAAAACATTTGTTGTACATCAGCTGTCACGGCTATTGGCTCCTTTCTAAATCTCAACAGCACTCCTAACAGGGAGTTGTTCAGGTCGGGCCCACTGAGTAGTACTTGATTTAGGGATGTGCCGTCACACTCTGCACTAGAATCGAAAACTACCCTAATTTGATCTGGTTTTTGTGGATGGTAAACACCAAATGTTGGCAGGTACCAATGTTCTTTACCTTTGGGCAGGGGCGGGGCTAGTTCGGCTTGATCGTTATCCAGCATTTTCTGCATGAACTGAATGTAGTGATCTCTCATTTCTGGCTTCTTTTCTAAAGTCTTTTTGAGTGAGTAGAGACGTTTTAGGGCTTGGTCTCTATTGCTTGGGAGCCTCCTTCTTGGAGAGCGGAAGGGCAAAGGAGCGACCCAAGTGTTCTCTTTGTTCTGTCTAACTGCACTGTTCATTAGTGTTAGAAAAGTTTTGTCATCTATAGACGGTGCTACCTTGTCGTCTGACTCAGTCCTGTCAAACATGGATTCACCTAGCTTATCTGCATTGTCTGCAGTGCCTACAGTGTTTCTGAATGTCAATGTGTTTTGCTGAGGTCTGACACTACAGTCCTCTTTTACTTTTATAACATTGGGACATGGCTCAAAATATGTTGTGCGTCCGTTGTCTAACGTGTGCGTTTTGTAAACGTTAACCTCTGTTGTGTTATGAGCTTTGCCTAGGCATACCTCCCCCACTACGACCCAACCTAAGTCCAGTCTTTGGGCATAAGGAGCGTTATTGGGCCCATTGATCTGCTCACGTACCTTGTGTACCCTAAGGATATCTCTGCCTAGAAGGAGAAGAATTGGAGCATGATGGTCGACAGGTTGGATTTTGTTTGCAATGGGGGCAAGATGGGGGTGATGCTGGGCGATCTCAGGCGAGGGGATTTCAGATCTGTCGTCTGGCACTGAGTCACATTCAATCAGAGGTGGCAGTTTGATGCTTGTTTTTCCATCCATGGACTGTATGACAAAGTTCATTGCTCTCTTGCCTACAGTCTCTGCTTTCCCTGAGCAAGTCTTTAGAATGTACGGTGCAGGATTGGTTTTGATTCCAAACAGGTCAAAGAACTCTGTCCTAGCTAGGGACCTATTGCTCTGTTCGTCAATTACAGCATACATTTTAAGAGCTTTGTCTTGCTGCCCTTCTGGATAAGCTTTCACTAAACAGATCTTAGAACAAGAGCGTGGGCTTTCACTCTGACCGCATACCTCTGTGCACTTGGAGACGACTGCAGGAGGGCTCTCTGCTTGCTCCTCAGTGTCTGCACTCTCTGAGGTGTCGTTTTTGGGGACAGGAGTAGGACCTGGATGAAGTGCTGATATGTGCTTGGGACTGTTGCACTCGACACATTTGACTACTGCTTTGCAATCTTTTGCCATGTGCTGCACTGAACCACAACATCTGTAGCAAATGTGATGCTCTTTGAGAAAAGCCTGGCGCTGTTCTATCGGCTTGTCTCTAAATGACTTACATTTTTTGAGGGGGTGTGGCTTCTTATGAATGGGGCACTGACGATCTGGTTCCTCTATTTTCTTTTGCTGTGTACCACTTTTCTCTGCAATGTCTGTTCTGTGTACTGACACAGCGGCTTTGCGATTGTATGGTGTGGACTTTTCTGAGCGGGTGGACACTTGACTGCTGCAGGTGAATAAGGCAAAGCTTGGATCATTTTTCATTTTTGCTTGTTGCTGGACAAACTGCACAAAAACTGAAAAAGGGGGAAATGACACTTTACGAGTCTCTTTGTATTGTGTTCCCACAGTGGTCCACCTTTCCTGTAGGCTGAAGGGTAGTTTCTCAACTATCTGTTTTACCCCACGTGCTGTATCCAGGTACGCAAGCCCCGGGAGTGTGCCATCAAGCTTAGCACACTGTAGCTCTAACAGAATGTCACCAAGTTCTCTTAGCTTGCCACTGTCTTTATTTGTTAGTCTGGGGAATTCTTCTATTTTCTTTAAGAGGGCGTCCTCGATAGCTTCTGAGGCACCATAACATTCCTCAAGGCGTTCCCAGATCATTTTTGCGCTTGCAGTAGGATTCAGAGCGTGTACTGCGCGAATCCGCTTAGCTTGTTCTGATGACTTTGGCCCTAACCACTTTGTTAGCAGATCTACTTCCTCTCTAGCTGACAGATTTAAGTCTTTTGTTGCACTGATAAACGAAGCTTTCCATGCCCAATAGTTTTCTGGTTTATCATCAAATTGTAGTAACCCGGTGCTAACTAGTTCTTTGCGGATAAGATACCTTGCAAAATCATGTGCACCATTCCACTCGGCTTGGTTGTTGTTGGTGGGCAGGAAAGTTTGAGCTAGAGGGTTAAAGGAGTAGGTGTTGTTTGCTTTCGGTTCATGTTTAATGTCACTTTTTACTTGCGGCAGAACCTGCTGAGCTGCAACTGTAACATGGTCAACTGGTTGAGTGATGGGCCCTAATAAGTTGCTGTGTAGTTCAACATACTCACTAGTGCGCTGTACTGCGTTAAAGGGCTCAGCTTCAATGGGGGGTTCAACACTTGACTCCCCGCTTTGACTGTCTACTTCTTCGTAGGCTGCAGCTTCTGCTTCAGCTGCAGCTACTTCTTTTTCACACTGTAGGATGTGGAGGCTGGCATCTAAATCGGCCCTTTGCTTTAGCATACTTGCTTCTAATTCTGCCTTCTGTCTCATCATTTTAGCCTCTTTTTCAACAAAGGCGAGTTGAGCTTTGGCTGCTTGAGCTTTAGCATAGGCTTTGGTGGCTGAATTTGATGTTGCTGTTGAAGATGGCCCCCTGCTTGGAGCCCTGGACCTGGTGCTGCGTGGAGGTGATGGTTGCTGCCTCTCCGGCGGTTGCTGTCCCTCTGGCGGCGGTTGGTCTACAGGGTCTGTGGCTGCAGCAATGTCTGGTCGCTCTGCATTGAAGTCTGGCTCAAACTCTGCACCTGCTGCATCCTGCTGTTCGTAACCTCTCAGGTAGTGTTTGCCTGAACGTAGACTCATGTCGGCTGATTGTTGCTCTGTGCTGCTTGAGCCCGCTGAGTAGTCGTCTTTTTACTGTGCTGTCCTCACGACACGTGACTGGGTGAAGCTAGACAGCCAGCGAACTAATAAAGAAAGCTCCGTACACAAGGCGTACTTTTCTTGTTTTATGGAGGTCTCTTGCATGTGGTGATACATTAATATAGTAACTGAAACATACAGAAAAAGAAATGAACATTACCAACTACACAGCACGTTTGATGTACAAATATAAGTAGCTAGCTTATACATGTGTATTACTGCAGTAGTTAGCAACAAGTTCCAATATTCATATGAAAAGAAAGAAAACACACACACAGCCCCAAACAAGTGCTTGTGAACTCTCAAATACTTACAAAGACGAAAATTTGCCAAGGTTCAAACGTTAGAAACAAAATCAGCGTGTACAAGAAAGTTATACGGACTTCTGCCGTGAAACTGCTCCATTTGTGCGGAGAAAAACGTCAAAGATCATGTGTAACACAAGAGCGCTCACTCTATACGAAAAATAAAACGATCCTTAATGGTGAAGATGTCTCACTTTGACAACCTTACCCAAATATTTTTTAACAGTTTGGCAACATGAAATAAACGTATTTAATTACCAATGAATTAACTTATTTATTACTTTTAACTGACTTATTAACTTATGAAAATATGAACCTTATGAATGTCTTTTTATCCAAAGACATGACATTAAAAGTAAAAGTCGATTAAGTCGTTTTGGTTTGTAACATGAGTGTTTACTCACAAATAACTTTCTTGATTTGAATAGGCATCTCTTAAAGTTTTTTACATGAACAAGGCCCTTTTCAAAATAAGAAAAGGAATTCGGAGATCAGCAGATTTTGTTGTTACAGCCTGGATAATCAAGGGTTCGCACCATTTTTTAGATATATTCATATGTATCTTATACAAGCTCATATACTTATGGCTCTAGCTCTCTCATTAGCTCTCTCACGTGGCGGCGGTCTGCGCATGTAAACACTGCCGAACAACTGAAGAAAGTGATGGATCCGCCAGGTGACAGCCGCGCGCAGTGGAAGAGAGAGAAAATAGCGCCAAGCGATTATGAGATCTGACTTTTTTGGCGACGATGGTTTTGTGATGCAAATGTATCACTCTTTTGAACACATATTGCTTTGAGAAGAAAAACGCTTTAGTATACAGTCCCCACACAACTTGCCGAACTACTTTCCTCAGCACCAAAAGTATCTCGGCTCACCGGACGCTTTCGGGGGTAAGTCGGTGTGAATGCACAACACTGATAATGGGGATGCCATACAGATTTATGTCAAAAAATCCGAACTATCCCATTTAATGGTTAATAGTCACATTTTTATATAGTGCTTTTCCACTTTCAAGGCATAATACACATACTAGGGGTGAGGTAGGTTAAGTTAAGTGTCTTACCCAAGGACACAACAACAGTATTCATCTGTGGGAGCTGGAACTGCGCTGCTAACCTGTGGGTCAGTCGTACCAGTGATGTTTATGTTGAGAGCAGGATTTAAACCGCCATCCTTCAGATCAGAGCACAAACACTCTTCCAACTGAGCTACTGCTGTACTTAACTGTAGTGTTGTCAGACAATTCAAGGTTAACACAACAATTCCAATCTTGTATAAAATCTTGGAAATTGCAATATATTCTGTATCCAGTCAAGTGAAAGCGACTTAGGTTTGGTGGGAAAATTGCTGTTTACAAACAGGGCTGGGTATCATTAAAAAGTTGCCGATACGACACATACTTCGATACATAGGCCATGATACGATACATATCTCGATACAGTGAGCTTTTCGATTCAATACGATACAATACATTTCAATAAAAAAACAAAGGCTAAATCATAGCTGTGATACTAAAAATCTTTGTTAAACCACTTCTTGTGCAAAGTTCATATGAAACACAAACATTTTAATTGTCAAAACAGTGAAAATGTCAAATGTGTCATAAAAACGAATTTCCTTCCACTGAACAAGCCACAAAACTGTAGCACTGTAACAAAATAGTAAAATTTTGTAAAATATACCAAAAAATACTCTTGACGATATATCGATACAGCAGCCCATGATACCGATACTGTATCATCCAATTAAACAGTACGATATATCAATATTTAGATATTTTTGCACACCCCTATTTTACGAATAAGATTAACAGCAGCTATGAAATCACAATGAACAAAGTGTGGTTGCATAAATAACTCCTCATAATTAATTTAATGCAAGCTTTTTACATTTCCTCTTTTTGTTATATTAAATTTTCTGTCTGTCTTGAACTATATGCTGTTGACTGTCATGAAAACCATTACACAGGTGATATGTTTACGTATTAGTATTGATGTAGATAAAATGCTCTATTTACATGATGAAATTGCAGATAGTCCTCCCTCAAAACCTCTGTAGAGTCGTTTAAAACATAAAGTTAAGTTTATATATTCAATATGATAACAATGACATTGACGTTTCCAGTACTTGATAACATTCCCAAATGGGCAGCAGGAGTCTGTACTTACCCAGTCTCGTGTGGTCCTTCCTGGAGTATTTTGCACTATTTCACATCTTCAAGGACTCTAGGACGTAAAAGTAATGAATATCTGATCAATCTGTCTCCAATCCATCATCCCACAGACGCAGGCTAGTGGAGCTAATCATAAGAAAGGAAAAGAGATTTATCCCCCACCGAAAGCTAGCCATTATTCTGTAGTCGCAGTACACCACCAGTCCACCGGGGGGAATAAACCGGCAGCCCTTCATACATATTTATACAGTAGGAGCATTCAATATTATACGTGTTTGAATAACATGACAATAATGAGTGCTTTGAACAATGTGTTTACAGATGTGCAGTAATAAAAAGCATGTTCATGACTTTTGCTGCTCTGAGAGAGTTTGCTTTATGTGGTTTATGATAATGTGTCAGATAATATTACACCAGAGAAAGAAAAGCAAGTATGTTTGGATTATTAAAGGGCCCATATTATGCTGTTTTCTCATCTATGTATATATAACAGGACATGCTCCACTGTGTTTTTAAACTCCATACACTTTCACTAGAATCATTTGGATAATTTCTGAACTAAACGTAAAAGGTATGTAGGTTTTAATTTGAAAACTACCACTACATGGCATCGCAAGGTGAAACATTTGAGCATTTTGAGTTTTGGAAATCTAGACAGACTAATAATAAAGGATTACTCAAACATTTACACAAACATTATGAAACAAAAGATAACCCCAGGTACGTTTTTGATGAAGTAACATCATTCTAAAAGCTCACAAGAATCCATCTTGCAATATAGGATCTTTAGCAGCTACAAGCCCACACTAAACAAAGTATGATTGTGTAAATGACTACTCCCAAAATAGAAACTGAGAAATGAAGAAGCTGCTAGACTGAGAGGTGAAATGTATTTAGAAACAACAACTTTTGTCCAACTGACAGAATTCAATTGTATTTTGCGATACTCCTTCAATGTTTTAGCACAAATTGAAAACACAAATTCTTTTATATAGGTCTTGATCCGTATCACGGATATTTAAAGGTCCTTTATTATTCCTTTGAGGATACAGTGTGAGTTACAGATCTTAGCCAGAGAAAAGAATTGGTTTG